CACCCAACAACCATACTGGGTGCCATGATGTCTGTGAATGATCCCCAGGCCCCTGGTTACCATAGCAACCAGGACACCTCAGCCAGACCAGATCAATTTACAACCTAATGGCATGTCGAGAGTTCTCCCTCTCACTACCTTTTACCCATAGGAAAGACATGCCCATAAAAATGGACTCTTCTCTAATTAATTCATAGAAAAACCTTTCTTTGAATGAACTCAATTAATCGTTAACCATAATGCTGCAAAATACGTTTATTGCAGCGGCACGCAGTCACCAGCATGGCAGGATGTGCAATGCCACTCAAAAAAAAAAAGAAAAGCTTTCTCACCCGAATTAAAGGGGTTTTAGGTTGAATAAAATGCTAGTAGCAGGATTGTAAAATTAATATAGATGTGATTATGATCATTTGATAAAATGAAGAGAGCGCGTCGTACGTTTGGGATAATTGTAGGCCTACTTTGTGTCTCGGAGACGCTGAATGCTGAATTTAAATGGTGTCGTGGTGCTCGTTGTTGTATTTTAAAACACAATTGCAATGTTTTCAATTCACATTATGGCATTTAAAATAAAATGATTCCAAACGTAACTGTGGCGCGTGTGGCTGTGCTGCGCAGTCAGTGAACCGCTTTCATCGGCGCTGCTGCAGCAAAACACACTGTTGCTCACATCGAACATTTTTATGTAAGTATTATTACCAGTGCTTAATTTGATCCTGCTGGATCCTGTTCCGGAAAATGTCAGATTTAAATTTTTGCGTTCCGGTAGGCCTTTTTGTTTTTTTAAAGATCCAACATTTACAATTGCATTAGATCATTAGACCATTAGCGCGTGCGTGCATACGAGACAGAGCGAGGGCGGGTTTGGCCAGATGTAGGCTATTTGGAGGTTATTGCTCACGTATCATCTCATTCGGCACAAATCCAAATGTTTCCATATTCGCAATGTATTTGAATGTTAAACTATTATTTATAATGCAAACTAGGCTTGTACTTTACACGCATTCGCATATAGACGGAAACGATCATCATTTTCCTTAAAGCATCCCATTTTGTCCCAGGGCTTGAAAACCTGTGCCCTAGGCTAGTTAGGTCCATGCAGAAACTAGTGAACGCAAAAATGTCCTTGGCATAACAGCAGAGTTTGGACAGCTGAATACTATTACTACGGTCTATTTAAATTGACCAGTGTAACCTTTTATATGTTTGGTTGACCATTTTATTTTGATAATGAACAGACTGTGATGTAAGTTTGAATTGCTATAAGTGGTGTCAGGGCCGTTTCTAGGCATAGGCGAGCTAGGCGGTCGCCTAGGGCGCCACCAGCTGAAGGGGCGCCAATGAG